ATTTAAGCGTTAACTTAGAGGTGAGTCAGTGGAGCTATAAAATTAAGCTCCCAGTCAGTCGATCTATACAATTGAATTGCAAGGTATTATTAGGCCTATTAATGTTAGGCCTGTTATTAATTTGCTCCATTCAAGGGCATAATAGTTTCATATACTATGCCTATATGCCTATAAATACAATCTATAAAAGAATAGAATGAAATTTAAATAATAGTTGTAATTAAACATAATCCATATATATAGACCTACAGTACACATTTTTTTAAATAAGAACCAGTAAAGTTTTGCCCAGAGTCAGTGTTCTTATTTTTTGGCCAATTTCAGGCTCAAATATTCTAATTTTGTTCTTATTTTACACACGTTTCAAAGATAGAAAATTATTATTGTACAGCAGTAACTGCACGGAATTAGGGACCGTACATAGTCACACCTACTGCACATAAGGTAAAGATAAGATAAAGAGAATTTGAAAGTATAACCGTTTCAAACATTATGCGTTAAATGTTTGAAACGCTGTGATTCGTTGGTTTTTCTTTTCTTTTTTTTTTTTTCTTTTATGCCCAGAATTTCAGCTCGGTGTTCTTATACAATGTGTTATGTAAGAAGTCGGTTGGTGATTTATTTTATGGGTCCAGTTTGTTGTCAACCGTGGTTATTAACCTTCCAGGAGACGCCATAAAATATTGTGGTTGTTAAGCATGGGCATGTGTTCCAATTGTAGAGTTTGTGCAACGAAAACAGATCAGCGTACCTGCATTGGCAGCCAAGTTAAGTAGCTGTTGTGTCGTTAGACGTATCATTACAAGACCATTTGTTCAGAGTGTAAAATGGATTTATTGTAGAAGTAACGAAAACATTGTAACTCCTTGTCGAAAATCCATGACTTTGTTGTATTGAAGTTGTAATACTCGTTGATATCAAAACATTAGATTTATTAATTTACCTTGCCGCTACGCAAAAGAACTGAGGTGGAAAATTAGACGATTTATATGTTGATCTTGAGTCAAAATAGGTTTGCTTTTAGCCTTGTAGAAGGTATTATTTTTTCTCACAGTGGTTTCAGCCTTTGGGCTCGAGGCATTCCGCATGGCTGGGTGCAGCATCATTTCTTAAATACATACATCACTTTGTTACCAAACGATCATGAATATGAAAGAAAATGCGAAACACACACTTGACATGGATTTCTGTTATGAGATTCTGATGTTTTTGTTCACAGAAATAATAACTCTCTTTTAATCTTAATACGTTCTTAAAAAAGAAAACTTTACCGCAGATTAAACCGACTTCAATTGAGTTCATTATATTGCTGGCAAACTTATTTTCCTGGTTTGAGAACTTGCGCAAATAGCTATTGGCAGCATAACGCGTGCCCTTAAAATCCAGTGGGGTATATTACGCGTGGCAGTACCGTAATCTTTAAAATCCCCTTCCAAAAACAACTGTTTTGAGAACGTCAAAGCAATTGAAGCTTCAGGTATCTCTTCTGTTTAAAGTCAATTCAATACCAGGGCTCATAATTGCTCGAGAGGACATATCCGGGGTCAATTTCCGTTGTCTCATAACCTGCTCAGGCATTGTGTTTGATTCGTATATGCAATCTATTTGAAATTCAACAAGGTTATTAACAATAACATAAAAGTGTATTTGGAATATTTAGGTGGGGATCCAAGATTTTTCAGACGGGGCCGCCAACTTATCGTAATAGAAACCTGACGAGCGCAGTAGTGGGACACTTTGGTATTATTTGCGTTATACATGTATCTATAACTAGTTAAACCATTACTGTGTTTGAAAGATACAAACAGAAATGAACAACATCGTGTAATTGAATATCAGTGACAGCGAAGGGACCGTAGACCCTATTGAATCCTTTTATATTTGTATTATATTTCTTATTTCAATCCATGGCATTGTATGTATTGACATTTTAAAATGTAGCAATGGTTTAACTAGATACAGATACATGTATAACGCAAATAACAATTAAGTGTCCCAATAATATGTTAATGAAATAACTGATCTAATCAAAAACTTACGTAATTCACCAAAATCAAACTTCTCACCACTTTTTACCTGAAGTTCTAAAGGATTTGTGGCTCCAAAATTGGAATGATTATTCATAAAAGAAAATACATGAAGTGTTAGGCCTACACTTTTTCGCTAGTCACCTATCGTCTGACGGAGACGGAAAGGGGCCAATATATATA